TGAGTTGCGTTGTTCGCCGTGCCAGTTGCTGGGGCTGCCCCAATTGATTTTTGGGTCGCCCATCGTCGTGACTGCTTTTCTGGCGGGTCGTGTTTTCGGAGGTCTTCTCCGCAGCCGCTCTCGTTAATTTTCTATGTTTAGTGCCCGAGGGTGCATCGCGCGAAAAGTGTCGCGGCCCCTGCCTGAAATGCAGCCCCGACGCCGTTTTTCATTGCAAACCTTCTTGGCGAGGTTACCGCGGCCAGGGAACGTCCCCGGGTGCACTCGCCAGGGCTAGTTTGGCGAATTCGCTTCGCCAACTTAGCTGCCCGCGGCATTTGCGCCGACGCGCTTTGGCAAACCCAGTAACGGGAGGCTATCTGCCCGATGACACGTTTTCCCCGCGCGTTGCACCTTCTTCCTGGAACCTACTATGCTTGCGAACCTATCTCCCGAACCTACTTTTGAACCTATCTAAAACCTATATCGAAATGTTTCTGTTCGCCATTGCCCTGCATTGCTGGGGAAGTCTCGGATCTTGACCTAGAGGAATGGCGGTCGGGCGGGGCGCTCGAGCACGTGCTGCCCCCCGACGCGGGCCCCGTCTCCAGGGCGAGGAACATCGCTGCGCTGGAGGGCGACTTCCCAGGCGATGCTGACGTGAAGGTCTACTTCTCCGAGGTGGTGGGCACGGCGGCCGAGGGTTGCAAGGGCGCCCTGTGCCTCCGACCCGTCCGGGGTGCCGAGCTCAAGGCGCCGTTGCCGAAAGCCGCGCGGGCCGCGGCGGGGGCCCGGGCGGCGGGCGGCGCCGAGGCGGGCGACGAGGCCGAGGAGCACAGCGCCGAGGGCGCTGGCGAGGGGCAGGACAGTAGCGACCTCAGTGATTCGTCAGTGATGTGCGACACTGCCAAGGAGGTATCCCCTGACTCCAGTGACGCCGAGGCGAGTGGCGACGGTGACGCCGCTGGCCCGGCGCCCGCTGCGGAGCCGGCCGCTGGTCCAGTCGCTGGCCCAGTGGAAGTGGACGCGCCGGCTGGCGGCCCCGGCGGCGTCGTCGGGAGGCGGCAGGGCCCGCGCTTCTATGACAACGGTTTTTTGTACATCATGAACAATGAGGGGAAGCCTGACGTCAAGATATTGGTGCGTCGTGCGTGGACCCACGAGCCGCCGGCTGGGTTAGGCCGAATCCCGCACATGAGCTGCACGCTTACGCCTGAGCACTACATGGAGTCCCGGGCAAACCCGACAGAGACTCGCATGCTGCTGCGGGCGTGGATGGCCTGGCGCGCTCGGCAGCACGGGTGGGTGGACTACGACCCTGGCCGCGGCCGCTTGTTCGCTGACGAGGCTGCTCGCTTGGAGCAGGACGTCAGCCGCATGCAGCCTCAGTCAGATGGCATATTTGGAAACGCAGCCGCGACGCATAAGTTTTTCGGCTGGGTCCCTGACGTGGCCGCCCGCCTCCGATCGATGCCGCCAGGGCCCCGCGAGATGTTGCTTTCCTGCGCGGGAGGTTCAACGGCTTCAAAAATGCATCCCTTCGGTCTCAATGATGTCATAATCTATATCATCATCGACCTCATCATCGAAGTCATGGCCGCCCGTTCCCCCGGGCCACCGCCATGCCGCCACCCCAATGCTGACGCCATCCGCCCGCCGTTGTCCAGCCGCGGCCGCGGGCTCCCCCGTGAACTCTCTGTGCATGGGTTTTCTCCTTCCACCACGGGGCCTCCATTGGTGCTCGTGGCCCACGCCCTTCAAGGCGCTTCCCCCCGTGGGCCTCCAGAGGACCAGAGGCTCCCTCTCGCAGATCCGTGTCCGCGTGCCGTGCCGTGCCGCGTTGTGCCGTGCCCGCCGCGCGCGGGCTTCCCCGTTGGTGGTGTTGCGCGGGCCCTCTCTCCATCCACTTCGGGCGCCCTGCTGGTCCTCATGGCCCCCGCCCTTCAAGGCGCTTCCCCCCGTGGGCCTCCAGAGGACCCGGGGCTCCCTCTCGCAGTGCCGTGTCCGCGTGCCGTGCCGTGCCGCGTTGTGCCGTGCCCGCCGCGCGCGGGCTTCCCCGTTGGTGGTGTTGCGCGGGCCCTCTCTCCATCCACCTCGGGCGCCCTGCTGGTCCTCATGGCCCCCGCCCTTCAAGGCGCTTCCCCCCGTGGGCCTCCAGAGGACCCGGGGCTCCCTCTCGCAGTGCCGTGTCCGCGTGCCGTGCCGCGCCGCGTTGTGCCGTGCCCGCCGCGCGCGGGCTTCCCCGTTTGTCGCGTTGTGCGGGCCCTGTCTCCATCCACCTCGGGCGCCCTGCTGGTCTCTCGTCGTCGTCGTGGCGGTCGTCGTCGGGTCGCCGCCGTCGCGAGGTGGAGGAGGTGGAGCAGGGGGAGGTGGAGGGAGAAGGGGTAGGCGGGGGAGGATAATGAGGAGGAAACGGGGATGAGGAGGACGAGTAGGAGGACAATGAAGAGGAGGAGGACGAGGCGGATCACGACAGAGCGGAGGTGGGGCAGGAACAGGAGGAGGAGGAGGAGGACGAGGTGGACGAGGGAGAACATCAGCTCCCAGCGGCCGCACCAGCGGCGGGAAACGATGGCCGCTTATATTTTTTAATAGCCGCTGATAGCCGTTAATAGCCGCTAGTAGGCTAATAGCGGCTGTCAGCGGCTATTAGCGGCTATTAGCGGCCATTTGCGGCCATTAGCGGCCATTAGCGGCCATTAGCGGCCATTAGCGGCCAAGAGCGGCCATTCGCGGCCATCAGCGGCCAGTAGAGGCCATAGGCGCAGCCTCAGCTTCAGCCTCAGCCTCGGGGCCCTATGGGGTTAAGAACTAGGGCTTCTGAGAGCCCTCTTGGAGTGCTGCCGGATTCCTCGATCCCTTTTTGGGGCACTCCGTAAACACGCAAACCAGTCGAACTGTGGTTGGAGGCCTAACCTTCCGGGGTGCTCTTTGTAGAAAGCCTTCGCCTCAAGAGCGTTCTTGGTTGAAGGCCTTTTCCTCAAAGGCGTTATTTGTGGAAATCCTCACCTTCAAAGGTGCGCTTAGTTAAAAACTGAATCCTCAAGGGTGCTCTTCAATGACGGTCTAAGGGCGGGCTCTCTTGGTTGAAGGCTTAACCCTCAAGGGTGTTTTTGATTGATGGGCTAAGGGCGCTCGTGGTTGAAGGTTTCACCCTCAAGGCACCTCTTTGTTGAATGCCTTAGCCTCAAGGGTGTTTTTGGATGAAGGCCTTAACATCAAATGCGTTATTGGCGGAAACCCTCGCCCTCAAGGGTGCTTCCAATTCAAATTATCAATGGTGCTCTCATCAATTGTGCTCTTGGTTCGGTTGAAGATTTTGCCCTCAAAGGTGTTCTTGGCCGAAGGTCTACCCTTCGCCGAAGGGTATTCTTGAACGCTTAGCCCCAAAGGGCATTATTGGTTGAATGCCTTAACCCCAAAGGGCATTATTGGTTGATTGCTCCGCCGATTCCGCATCGAAGCACAGAAGTCCGTCGCCTTTTTGGATCAAGTTTTGGCTCAAGACTTTCGGGCGCCATGGCGACAGAGGAAGCTGACGCCCTGCTGGGATTGGCGGATTTCAAAATCCACGAGATCCCTTCTAGCGCTTGTCCTTACTCCCTTGCTGTCGTGGGGGCTTTAGTGCGCATCAGCCAAGCAGAGCAACCTTTAGTCTACGCGAAGACGACCGGTCAGGCCCACGATTTCTTCACACGGTTGCAGAAGGTCTCTGCGCGGACCCGCACGCATTTTCCTATCAAGATTGCGGAGCGCAGCATGGAGTTCTATGAGTCGTTTATGAAATCTGTTATGAACAATCGATCCTTTTCTACAACGGAAAATGTTACTACTGTCGTTGTTACTGTCACCGCCTTGGAATGGATGCGCAATTCCTCCAACATTGTTTTTCTGCTGAGCATGACCCCGGGGAATTCCGAACAGTTTCGAACTGCGTTGGAGGAGGCCTTCGGCGACCCAGGTGTGCATATGGACGTACCTGTGTCCAGCACCAAGAATGTCGATGCTGTGCGGTTGCGGGTCCCGCACTTGATGGGGTACTACACAGAGGCGCGGCATTACCTGACCACGCAAGGCGTCACTTACGGTACGGGGTTGTTTGTGATACACATGCTGTACTTGTTGCGTCTCACATCGTGTTCACGTCTGATGAGAAATCATTTCTTCTTGGTCTTGAACCATTTGGGGTTGCTTGCGCCAGGGGCCGATCAGGACATGGCCGGACTGAGCCAGCAGGGGACGAATTCCACAGAATTCAACAAGAAGTCCGGCCCGATGCCAGAGCGCCCGCGGCTCCTGAAAAACGTCTACTCCCTCATCCCGCGGTGCGGGGTTGATTTTGGATGCACGAGCGCGGGCAGCCAGGTGTTCCGCAACATGCACGACCTCCTGAGAACCCTTTGCGCTTGGGGAAAGCTGATCCTATGGACGTGCCAATTCCATGTGCTGTTGAACAATATGGTATTCAGCGCTAGTTGGGCGCACGAGCGCTCAGCGGAGCGCGGGGTGAAGCGCAGGCCGGCGGCGCAGGATGGCAGGAAACCGACGAAAAGGATAAAACAATAGGAAAAACGTGGTTGGACAAAATCAAGGATTCCCGATTTTCGAGAAATGGAGCGCGCGGTGTTGTTTTTTCTCAAGGGGGGCAGCGCGCCCGCGCCCTAGTCTACGACTGTCGCGAATCCTTGATCCAACCGCGTTTTTCGCACTCCCCCGCTGCTGCTGCTGCTGTTGCCGCGGCCTTTGCTGTTGCTGCTGCTGCTGCTGCTGCTGCTCTAGCCCTCGTAACCCCTCCCGGGGATCCAACTCAAAAGGGCACTTGTAAGAGCAACCTCAAGGGTTTTCTGCTTGACGGTCAAAGGTGCTCTTGTTCCGTAATCATTTTGGCCCAAGGCTCATGCTTCTGTTCACCATCCGTTTCCGGGCCAGAGCGATCCCGCCCTGCGACAGTCCTCGGGCGCTGGTGTCAAGCCGCGGGCCCCATGGCAACCACCCGCCAGTGTGCGATCACCGCGCTGGAGGCTTACCAGAAGACTCGCAAGGGCAATGCCGTGGTGGACCCCGCCGACGAGAAGCAGATCAAGCTATATATCTCGCTGAGGAACAACTTGGGCGATAATGAAAGAGTGACCGTGGGCTTGCTCCTCGCGTGGCTGCGTGAGGCGAAGGGCGAGCTCGAGGCCAGCGGTTCGCAGGCTCTGCGGGCGCTGGCGGTGCCCGAGGCCAATTTCCCCCTGGGGGCTCCCGGAGAGCCTCGCGAAGGCAGAGCTGTCCGAGGATGACCTTGCAGAGCATCGGCTGGCTTCCATGGGCATGGCCCAGCTCGACCTGGATAACTTCTTCATCCTCGACTTCTTCTTGGTGAATGACAAATCCGTCCTGGGGGAGAAGGTGCGGGAGTTGTCTTTCCGGAACTTGTCCAACGAGCGCTTGAAGCTCGGGGGCCGCCCGGCGCCTGGCGCGGCCGCCGCCGGGCCCCCGGGCCGCGACGGCGCCGCGTCTGGCGCGGGCGATGCAGGGGCTGGCCCGGCGCCCGCCGCCGGCAATCCAGGAGCCAGGCCAGGGCTCTGGGAGGGGGTCGACGCGGGCGCCGTTGGCGGCGGGGGCCCGCCGGGGCTGCTGGAGCCCGCGGCGGAGCCGCGCCGCGAGGTGAAGCGGCACTCGTCGGACCCCTTCGTGGCAGACACCGAGAACGAGGCGGGGCGGCAAACCTTGAATGTCGCTCAGACACGGGGCAATGTGCACCCCTGCCCCCGCCGAACCAGCAAACGAGATCAGGTCGCTTCGGGGGCCCGCGTCTGAGCGAAATTCTGGGGGTCGCCTCGGGGGGCGAAGCGTGCCCGATTGCAGAATGACGTGATCCTGGCGCTGAAGGACGAGATCAAGAGTGCCGCGGAGGCGGGCCGGTGGACGGCGCGCAGCAAGTTGCGCGGGGGCGCCGTGGATTTCTTCATGGGCGAGCTGGTGGAGACGATGAAGGAGGTCAAGAGGGGCCAGCCGCTGGCGGCGGCGGATGGGCTGGCTGCCGTCATGACGCGAGTGTGCACGTTTGCCGCGAACCTCTTCTTGGGTCACCGCAGCTGCGAGTGCCTCCCGCCCCTCTGCAAGACGTTCGACGCGTTCGAAGAGCTCGGGGCCGAGGTGGCGGGCCTCCCGCTGCTCGTGCGGGAGCTGGCGCAGATTGGGCTCGAGTCGGACGCGCTCCCCGCGCTTGCGGGGGCGGGCGCTGCTGGCCGCGTGCGCTTCCGGGGACCCCCTTGCTACGAGAGTTTCTTGGCTTTCCGTTTCAAGCGGGATCTCGACCGCGCGAAGGCGGCCGCGGGCCAGGGGCAGCTACAGGCGTTGAAGGAGATCGTGGCGGCCATCGCCGACGACGTGGCGCCGGACGTGTACATGCACGCGTCTACGGCATTGCAGGCTTTTGACCCGAAGCCCCCCTTGGCCGCGCGCGTTGAGTGGGCCCTCGCCGACGACTTCGCGCTGGCGGTCGTCCAGGAGTGGGCCCCCGACAGCGACGCGTGTCGCGCTGTCACCCTGGCGGGGCCGGCCCCGCCTTTCGATGACATCGCGTACTCGGAGTTCGAGAAGGGGTGCCCCCTCTTGATGAATGCCGGGGTCGAGCCGCACAGCCCGCTGGTCGAGGAGGCGCGCGCGTTCCTCACAGCGTTGCAGGGGGTCTCCGCTTGGGGCCAGCAGCAGACATCGGCGTGGTTCGAGCTCCTGGAGCGGCTCGCCTTCGCCGAGCGCCTGGGCCTCGCCGAGTAGGGCGAGGAGACGGGCCAGGGCGACGAGGCGGACGTCGCCCAGGTCATCGCGGCCCTGCCGCGGGAAGATCTCGTCGCAGTCGTCGGCGCTGCCAAGGCCTTCGTCAAGCCGAAGGGCAAGAAGGGCAAGATGCATGAATGGCTGAAGAGCTCGGTCGCCGCCGCCGACGCCGCCGAGGGGCCGCCGAGTCCGCGGCCCGCCCTCGCGGGCGGGCCGCCGCCGGCCCCTGGCGGCGCGGAGGGCGCCCCCGCAGGCGCCGTCGCCGACGGCTTGGCCGCGGGCGAGGCGGAGGGCGCCCCCGCCGGCGCCATCGCCAGGGGCGTAGTCGCGGGCGGCGCGGAGGGCGCTCCCGCGGGCGCCATCGCCGAGGGGCCGCCCGCGGGCGGCGCGCGGGCAGGCGTCTGGAAGGAGATCGAGGAGTCGGAGGAAGGGCAGCGAGGCATCCTCGCGGATATCTACTATCCGAAAGTGAAGAGCCTCTTCCCGGAGGTGTGGTGCCGGACGGTGACGGCGAGCGGGGGGATGGCGGGGTTGCGATCGACGCTGGAGATGTCGCGGAAGAGGGGCCGCGCCGAGGACGAGCTCACGGCGACCCTTGTGCGGTGCCTCGACCACGGCATGGGCGGCAAGACTTTGGAGAGCTGGATGAACGAGCAGGAGAACCGCGAGGTGTTCGCCGAGTGGGTGTCGGTGGCGACGCTGCTCGCCAAGGGGGGGGGGGGGCGCTCCGCGACTGGCGAGGGCGCTCCCGCGGCGACGGGGGGCCGCGGGGCAGCTGGCGGCGCGGGCTTGTTCAAGAAGGGGGGCGTCGTGGTGGGGGTCTCCATGAAGCACAAGGAGGACTGGAACGGCCGCCGCTGCGAGATCCTCGAGGTCTTGTCGAGCACCTACAAGGTTCGGCGGCGCGCCGACTGGGGCAGCAGGAGGGGCAGGGCATCTCGCATCGGAGGACTTCGGAGGGCTTCTAAGAATCACCCTGCTTTCTAAGAGCCCTTCCGCCCCCCCCCCCCCTCGGCGCCCCGCCGAAGGGCGCGCGTGCTGGGGGGGCCGCAGAAGGGCAGCCAGCGCAAGTGCGTCCACAAGAGCGTGAAGGCCACCCAGCACGAGCAGCAGACCTCGGCGGGCTCGGGGGGGTCCGATGGCGACTCCAGGAAGCGGCAAACCTCGGCGGGCGACTCGAGCAAGGAGCAGCCCGCGGCGGGCGACTCGACCAAGCAGCTGAAGCTGACGGACCTCGCCTCGCTCTTCGACTGAGCCCGAGCGGTCGGCGCCTCGGCGCCGGCGGCAATAACGTGAGCGGGTCCTGAAGGAACGGGCCCTAGTGGTTGTTTCTCGTTTTCGGGTCTGGGAGCGTCCAAGGTACGACCCAGGATAGATGGCTGGTAATGGGGGGGGCCTTCGGAGGTCCGGGTCCCATTTCCTTCGGGGCCCGCGCGATGGCGTCGGGGCAGGCGCCCGCGTTGGGCGCGCGAGGCGCGCGTCGGGCGCGCGCGGAGGCGAGGCGGGTGCCCGCGTAGGGCGCCCGTGCGGGGCGCGCGTGGATTGTTTCTCACGCCAAGTCGCGGTTCTGCGAGCTCAAGAGAAGTCGCCGTCGCCGCCGTCGCCGTCGCCACCGTGGACCGCCCCTGCCCCTCCACCGGCGCCCCCCGCCTTCAGCCGCCCCCTCCCTGTCCCGCTTTCTCCTTCCCCTCCGCCGGTGCCCCCCGCTCACGGCCGCCCCAGCCCGCCCCTGCCGTTACTCGAGTGGCTTACGCCATTTCGCCGACCTTCAGAAGGAGTCAGAGCGTGCGACGATCGTGGAAGTTATTTACTGGCCTTCCGCCCATCCCGCCAGCGACCTCGGCCGCCCCAGCCCGCCCTTACCATTATTTTATATGATTGCGACTCTCCTCTCACCCCAATCGGGGCGCCTTCGGTTGTTCCGAGGGGGCGTTCTCGCCTCGGCGCCCGCCGCGCGTCTGCCCTCTCTACCGTTGCTCAGCGTGAATGCTGCTCCCCCCTCGCCCCCGAGTCTGCGCGGAGAGGCGCGCGGGCTATTAGGGGGCCGCCTTCAGCCTGCTTCTGGAATTTACTCAGGCTGCCCTGGGGCCGCCGCTAATGGCCGCGAATAGCCGCTAATGGCCACTCGGGTTGCTGGATAACTGGCCGAGAGGGTGCGCGTGGAATGCCACCCCTGCCGCCGGCCCCCTCTCTCGGAGAATGGGCCATGGAAGAGCTAAGTCATGAGGCCTTAGCGCTGTCGTGAAGCAGTGTCGAAACTTCATGCGAAGCCGAGTCGCAATCAGCAAAACCAACTGATCACAAGAGGGGTTACCACACTTGGCGATTGGTAACACGTGTATGGTTTAAGGGCTTGGTTACCACACCTTGCGATTAAAGGGCCGAGGGAGTTCTCGCAGTTTGGGTTACCACGCCTTGCGATGGATGTGCGTGATGGGTTTGAATTTCAGAAATGTGGCAAATCCTCTGTGTTTTTGGACCCTGACCCTGCGGATCTGCGTAAGGGGTGGGTTCGAATTTCAGAAATGTGGCAAATCCCATGTGTTTTTGGACCCTGACCCTGCGGATCTGCGTAAGGGGTGGGTTCGAATTTCAGAAATGTGGCAAATCCCCTGTGTTTTGGACCCTGACCCCGCGGATCTGCGTGAGGGGTGGCACCGAATTTCAGAAATGTGGCAAATCCCTTGTGTTTTTGAACCCTGACCCCGCGGATCTGCGTGAGGGGTGGCACCGAATTTCAGAAATGTGGCAAATCCCTTGTGTTTTTGGACCCTGACCCCGCGGATCTGCGTGAGGGGTGTCGATTTCGAGCCCCCCCTGCAATTCAGACAGCGCGCCCAGGGGACGCTGGAAAATCCTGTTTGGGCCTCCCCCCCCCTCGCGCGGTCAATCAACTAGTTACAGTAACCAGCAACGAGCAGAACTGTAGCACTGGAAACTACAAGCTACAACTGGTACTGGAAACTGCGAACCCGTTCCTACAGCCTGGTGGCCCCACAAGGGGGCCGGCGGATATCGTCTGGTGCCGTTTTTCATGTCTGTGTTGAATCGTGCTGTGGTTGTGTCTTACCTTCAGTGCAAGATCCGCCTGTAGGAGGACATGCCCGACCTAACCCTCGGGAGGGTCGAGAGGTCTTAGAGGAGGGCCCTTGGGAAGTTTGGGAGGTCTCAGAGGGGGCGAAGGTGGCCATGCCGCTACCCTTCCCTCGTCTTGCCCTTGTTCGCCCTCCTGGGAGGCCCTCGTCGCCACCGCTGGATTCGCCTCGAAATTCTGTCCAGAGCGCGCCCCGAGACGAAACATTTTGCCTCCCAGAAGGGGTCGGTTTAGATGGGGTCGGGGGATCGCTACGCATTGCCGATGCGATGTGGTGTGATGTGGAGCCCGATTGTCTCCTCGCTGGCGTCGCCGATGCATTGCCGACGTCGCCGATGCATCGCCGATGCATCGGCGATGCATGGGCGATGCACTGGCGATGCGCCGCGGTCTTCTTACCCCATCTGCTCTGACCCCATCTGGGAGGCCCCTCGAAGCGCTACTCCTTGGGAAGGTCGGGAGGCCTGGGGTCGCGCATACAGTGGAGACCCATGCCAAGAAGCACCCTGCTTGCCTCGGGTGCCCTGGGTTTCTTGGGTTTCGATGGTTTTGGTGTGGCGAGCGTGACGTTCCCACATTAAACACCGATGGACGTCCTGGGGTCTCAGGGTTGGGTTTCTTGTGGAAGGTTTCTTGTGGTCGGGCCCCTACAATATCGACCGCAGCATTTCGGCGGGCGTCTGGGTCTGGAGCTCGGCACCGCCTCCTTGACGTCGGTGCCGCGGGGGGTTCGGCGACTTGGATCCGTCACGTGATGCGAATCTGAGGAGGAGTGGGAGGGGGAGGAGGGGAAAGGGAAGGAAGAGGAGGAGGATCAGGTGGGGGGAGGGAACTTCGCATCACGTGACGGAATTCCTCTGCCTAGGGGCGGGGGTCGTTGGCCCTTGGAGGACGTCCTCGCAGGCTCTCCTTGGGGGAGGTCCTCGCTCCCTGCCTGCGGCAGAGGCCGCGCCTCGGCGAGGAGCCCTCTGGGAGTGCCCCGGGGTAATCCTGAAACGGCTGCTGGAAGACCGAGCTACGCAGTGGGACAGCTCCTCGTCCTCCTCCTCCTCCTCCTCGTACTCCTCCTTCTCCTCCTCCTCCTCGTCCTCCTCCTCCTCCTCCTGACTTCACGCGAGAACGTCGGGTGCCGACCCTGGTCATCGTGCGTCTTGGCCACCATGTCTCCGTGGCTATAATCCTCGCGAATCGGCGATGGCCGGTACGGACCACGGTCAAGGCAGGTTGGTCGACGAGCTGCTGCGGCAGCTTGGTCAGAGCCTTCGTGTCTCCTCCTCCGGCTATGAAGAGGAGGAGGAGGAGGAGGAGGAGGAGAAGGATGATGATGATGATGATGATGATGATGATGATGATGATGATGATGATGATGATGATGATGATGATGATGATGATGATGATGATGATGATGATGATGATGATGATGATGATGATGATGATGATGATGATGATGATGAGAGATGAGGAGGATGAGGAGGAGGAGGAGGAGGAGGAGGAGGAGGAGGAGGAGGAGGAGGAGGAGAGGAGGAGGAGGAGGAGGAGGAGGAGGAGGAAGGAAGAGGAAGAGGAGGAGGAGGAGGAGGAGGAGGAGGAGGAGGAGAAGGATGATGAGGATGAGGAGGATGAGGAGGAGGAGGAGGAGGAGGAGGAGGAGGAGGAGGGAGGAGGAGGAAGAGGAGGAGACCCGAAAGCCACCAGGCACCGAAGGCATCTCGGAGCCTCCCGGGCGCCCCGTGGGCGGCCCCTCGTCGCGGGCGGCACTGCCGCCGCAGCCTCGGGGCGGGGCCCTTCCGGGCACCGCTCCGGCAGGCGGTCCGACCCCACGTGTGCTGGGTCGGAGCACGTCCTTTTCCTCTTCCTCCTCCTCCTCCTCCTTCTCCTCCTCCTCCTCCTCCTCCTCCTCCTCGTTCTTCTCCTCCTCCTCCTCCTCCTCCTCCTCCTCCTCCTCGGGGAGGCGGTCCGACCTCCCCCTCCGCCTCCGAGGAGGAGGAGGAGGAGCAGGAGGAGGAGGAAAAGGGGGGCGGTGGTGGGGGATGGCTGGGTTCGGAAACATCTATGGCCGAGAGAGGGGGAGAGAGAGAGAGAGAGAGAGAGAGAGATAGAACGAGAGAGAGAGAGCGAGAAAAAACAACAATGAGATAGAGAGAGACCCACACACAACAAACAAGGGGGGAAGGGGAGTGAGGGAGGAGGCGGGCGAGGCGGAGGAGATTGGGGAGAAGGTGGAAGAGGTTCGCGGGGGAGGAGGAGGAGATGGAGGAGGATAGGAGGAGGAGGAGGGGCCCGAAGAGACCCAATTCTGCACTAGAGATGCTGCAGCAGGACACCCGCCCATGACGAGCCCCCGTCTCACAGGCCTTCTTGACGAGTCCCTTCTCACTGCATGGAAGTGCCCTCACGGCGGCGGCGGCGGCGGCGGCGGCGGCGGCGGCGGCGGCGGCGGCGGCGGCGGCGGCGACGACGACGACGACGACGACGACGACGACGACGACGACGACGACGACGACGACTACTACTATACTACTACTACTACTACTACTACTACTACTACTACTACTACTACTACTACTACTACTACTACTACTACTATACTACTACTACTACTACTACTACTACTACTACTACTACTAACTACTACTACACTACTACTTACTACTACTACTACTACTACTACTACTACTACTACTACTACTACTACTACTACTACTACTACTACTACTACTACTACTACTACTACTACTACTACTACTACTACTACTACTACTACTACTACTACTACTACTACTACTACTACTTCTGCTGCTGCTGCTACTACGATTTCTACTCCTACTACTACGACGACGACGACTGTTACTACACTCCGTAGACAATCTATGTCTAGACTGTACATCCGTACATGCGAGCTGCCAGGGGAAGAGGTACCATCACCCCAGAACCCCGAACTTGATTGTCCCGAGGGGTGCATCACCAGGGCTGGTTGCCTGGTCACATGCGTCCCTGCGGGAGCCGCGTCGCAGCCGTGGGCCATCGGCGCCCCTGGATGCACGCGTTGGCTCACCCCTGGGCTACACCTCAGGCGATGCTGAAGAAAACTTGAGTTTTCGGCCAGAGTCTCGATCATTCTTAATGCTTCAATGTGAATCCTAAGATTTCGAAAGGAATTCTGGGTTTTCATTCAAATTCTGAGACTATCAATTTCTTAACCCATGATTTCTTAAGCATCTCGCAGGGTGTGTTCCCGGCGGCGAGCGAGGAGGGGGCACGAGAAGGAGAAGGCCCTCTCAGCAGGCGGCGGGGCTTCTCAGAAGGCCCCATGGCCTCACGAGAGGCTGTCCGTGCCTTCGGGCACAGCGCCGAAACCTCCTCGGCAGGCCGGGGGACGTGCGAACCTCTTGAGAAGGCCCGTCTCCTCCTCCTCCTCCTCCTCCTCCTCCTCCTCCTCCTGGATCAGAAGGGCGTGGATCACCGGCCGC